ATCGTATCGTGACCCCTCTGTCATGATATGTATCATATTGCCAAATTCTTGCCAATACACAGCCCTACTTATTAAGGACAAATGTGGATATTAGTGCAGCAACTTTTTCGTCTGGAAGTCGGAACACTGTTCAGGTTTACCGGTCAAAACTAGCTAAACTAAAGTCCAACTGATCAARATATTCATCTGCTCATTCAACCCTATTCATAACACAGTTTGAGCATCTATACATGCTTAAAGTCCTTACGTCATCAAACCAATCCTGAACACCTGCCTACTCATCTTTTAAAGGCCCAACATAACCTGAACCACAGTCSTGTTTCAGGTTTTACACAGGATGTGAAGATTTGATGACTGCAGAAGAAAAAAAATGTTCAGGTGGGAGAGATGAAAAGCTTTTGTCTTCCTGTCAGTCTGAACACTTTTACTTCTGATTTAAGTCAAGTGTGGCAACATTTACTGCAAAACTGAGCAATATTTCTTAAGAAAAGCTGGATTTAAAATGTAAATCTTTGTCTCTAAGTCATTCAAACGTCAGATTAAAATGTTAATTATTGACAGGAAAATGTTGCAATCTTAAAGTCTAAACTAGAGAAAGTGAAATGTGCTCCTTAACCTGACTGTTTGATTAATCTTTTGGTTATGGGTGTACTTTTACTAGATTAACTATAAAATAGCATATTTGWACCAGTCAGTGGAATTTGTCTGCTTGACTAAAGGTTAATAAAACAAATAAAACTCACAAAACTTGTTTCATTTTTTCACAATAAAAGTCTCAAACACAGGCACTGAGTGATGACTTTAACAATGTGAATTTTTCTAAGTGTTGAGAGTGAGATGTGAGATGTCTGAKGTCACCGCTCAAGGCYTGAAMATATTTCATCCAAACTGGTAAAATTGGCTCCCATTGTCGCAGCTATCTGGGCGCAGACATTTATAAAGATCAAACAGCCAAAAACTCATGGAAAGAGACAAAACAGACATTTTACACCTGGATCCATCTGCAGACAACTGTGGACTCCAGCAATGAAAAAAACAAAACAAAAAACAACCCTGTGCAGTGACATGTACCGCAGTGGGAGGGGTTTCACAGGAGTTCAGCATGATGTCTCAGGGGCTGTGAAAGCTGTGTGCGAAAACAGTGGAGTATGTGGAGGATTTCAGTGTCTGTTTGAGACTCTTACTGTGAAAAACTGAACCAAGTTTTGTGAGTTCTGCAGATGCAGGAGGAATAAACAGCACGTCAGACTTGCTTCCAGTGTTATTTTATAGAGAAACCATTAAATAACCTGTAGATAACCCTCAGATATGATAAGAATGAAAAATAAAACAGTTTTGTTTGAAATAGACTTTTTCCCTCCTCAACCTTGTGATTTATTGCAATATTAAAAGCAGCTCCTCTACACTGATAAAATATAACAAATTGAAGCCGTGTTTCCATCCTATTCAAATTTTGAGCGAATTTTTAAAATTTCGCAAAAAGGAAAAAACAAAACAAAACAAAAAATCCGTATCAGACGTGTTGCCATCAACTGGCTTGAAGCGAATCCGTTACGTCAGGTGCATGCGTGTAGTAAACAGGAAGTGAACGTCGCATCTCAGGAAAATGAGAGAAGTTGCTACTATCGGGAAAGTTGTACTTATTCTGTCGTATTAACTAGTTCTGGCAATTTATTTTTTATTTATTTATTTATTTATTTATTTTATTATTTATTTAGTCGGGACAGTGTGCAATTAAAACATAAACATAAAAACATTTTATGCATTGCACCAGATTTAGCCTAAGGCTAATTTAAATCTGTATTCCCTCCAGACAGTAAACACAAAACAACATCCAACAGTAATAGAAATCAGAATGAATGAATAACAGAAAAATAAAAATATTATAAAATAAAACATTTTGCAATTAATAATAATACATAAACACCCCACCCCACTCTCCAAACATAATTAAAAAGTTATACATGATTCTACATGGTGTCTGGAGACGTAGAGAAAGAAATGTAATTCTCTTCATGCTACGGGATTAACCGAGAATACGCTGACAGCAGGAGGAGGGTCCAGTTGCAGTCGCTCTGGTACCGGTACCGGTTTCAGACAGACAGCGAGAACAGCTGATCAACATGTGAGGTAAATGTTCGCTACGTCAGAACAGATTCGACAAATGTGTTTCCATCTCTCCTTTTGCGCATTAAAGGCACAGTGTGTAGGATTTTGTCAATTCTTTTAGCCGAAATTGAGATAATCACTAATGACAATAATAAAAAAACATGTCTAATCATTGCAGACAAAGACCTTGTTTTATTATTTTTACCTTATAAAAAGCTGTTTATATCACCATCGTCGCRGGTCCCCACCACAGGCAGCCGCCATCTTGTCTACGAAGGCTCATGAAGGACAAACTGCGGTGGCGGCATCAAAAACGGTTTTAGTTGTAATACTATAAATGTAATATTTGTTGTCTGTCATTGTAGCTGGGATAATTTTACTTATTAAAGCTCATAATCTTACCACTTGAAACATCACTAGCCCTGAAGCTGCTGGTAGACATCGCGGTTGGAATTATCAAAGGTTTTTGACACCTGAGAGACACCGTAGCAACTCCTTTGGAAGCAGGGGTGGGGGTGGGGGGAGGACCAGGGAGGATGATTCAACCACTAGATGTCGCTGAAAACAACAAATCCTACACACTGTGCCTTTAACTTTTTTTTTGAAAAAAAAAAAAAAAAACACCTCAAGCGAGAGTATCAACTTTTATGTCAATTAAAGTAAGTTTTTTTTTCAAATCATGCCGTTTTCATYCACCTTTTCTGATGCAATATTTCAAAACGCGCATTAAAAAACCTTGATGGAAACACGGCTCGAGTCAGAATCCTGCAGAGTCTTTGGCTTTTCCAGCCAGTGTTATTAATCCCTCCTCCTCCTCCTCCTCCTCCAGGTGCTTTGGTGCTGGGCGGTTTCCTCTACTGCTGGCAGTTCCCCCACTTCAACGCTCTCAGCTGGAACTTGAGGGAAGACTACTCCCGCGGCGGCTACCGCATGATGTCCGTCACGCACCCCGCCATGTGCAGGCGGGTGGCGCTGCGCCACAGCTTGGGTCTGATCGTCCTGTCGGGCCTAGCGCCGGCGCTGGGCGTCACCACGTGGGCCTTCCCCTTCGTCTCCTTACCCCTCAACCTGTACCTCAGCTACCTGGCGTTCCGCTTCCACCGCAGAGGAGACCGCAGCAGCGCCCGCAAGCTCTTCTTCTGCAGCCTGTGGCACCTGCCCACGCTGCTGCTGCTGGCGTTCACCTGCAAGAAGTTCGGCAAGCGTCAGGAGTGTCCGGCCTTCAGGCTGCTTGCTAACTAGTGCCGTCGTCGACAACACAACTGAGACTTTTAGTTTGAACCACAGGAGATCTTCTGACGAGCTGCATCACAGAAAACACACAAGTTCACCACTTCAGCTTCTTTTAAATGTGTGTAAATACTCTTGCTTATATATTACAGGTCTCAACAGTTTCTCAAGTGTTTTATCTGACTGACTGTACAGTTTCATAACTGTTGTCCTTCATGTGAGGGAACGAGGCAAACTGGGACTTCCTGTTTAAAGTCAGTTTGGTGTACACGAGCTGAGCCACACCAGCTTCAATTACCTCTACGAACTGTTTAAATCCAAATCAGGATTTGTTTGATTTTAGGTGGGAAAACGGGACAAATCYAACACCATCAAGTCTTCGTTTGATGCCTTTTACTTGACGGTTAAAAACCACTTCCTGTTTGTAAACAAACAGCACGTCCAGGTTTCAGTTTTTGCTGCTTTGAGGGATCAGTCGTTCCCCTTGAGACTCGGATATTGTCCAACAATAAACACGTTCTGACTAACTCTGCCTCCCGTGTTTTCATTTCCACAGAACACCTCCTCAAACCAAACGTCTCATGAGGTGATTTGGGGTTAAGTGTGAACAGAACGTCCAGACTGAAGTTCGGACCAGAAGACCACCTCTACACCTGTCGCTCACCGCTTCCGCCCTCTTTTTTTTCTCCTCCTAGTTTTGGTATTTGGTTACATTTCCATCACCACGCTCGGTGAGACAAGCACCCCCCTCTGCTGTCACCCTGCTGCCATAAAAAAAACCCCAAAAAGGCAGCAGGATTTAGACGAGGCTGAGAGACCCGAAACGGCTCGATGTCCTCGTAAAGTGTCTGACCGGATGTAGAGATTCGTATCAGAAGGGTGAGAGGAGAGTGATGGAGCCAGCTGTTACAGTCAGACAAGAAGTGTGTGTCTGTGTGTGTGTGTGTGTGTGTGTGTGTGTGTGTGTTTGCACTCAGTGTTGGGTTTGCTGCACGTCAGTTTCTACTCTTTTCTAATATTTAGTATTTATCTTCTGACCTGCAGCTGCTGCAGACGTTACAGAAGTGAAATATCTTCATTATGAAGAAAAGTGACGTTGAGTTTTTAAATTATTATTTTGTTACATTAAAGTCCTGCACAGCTTTAAAAAATACACTGGATTTCTCACAAGTGGGAATACTGAAGGATGAGCTTTACGGAAAKTCAAGTTTTAATTTTGGTAGCTGTTGAAAAAAGTTGCTTTTTATCCATATTTAAAAGGCTTTAATTGAATATTTATTAGTATTAATTAAAAGCATGATTAGATGATGATAAATATGTGAAGTTTTCACTTTAAAAAAGGTAAGAAAATCATGTTTCTGTTTAAAATGTTTTGCTTTAATCAAACAACCGCTTTTTAACTTTAGATCATAAACCACTTCTGAAACCAGGCAAGTAAACTTCTGGATGACCTCTGACCTCTACCACAGAGCGATGGTGTTTGTGCCGGGTGTTCGGGTGTCTGTGAGCAAAATATCTCGTGAATAAAAAAAAAAACAATTTTAATAAAATTCAGTAATAAACTACAACTGATTAATTTTTGGTACCAACCTGATTTAAAATGAACGCCATAACTGAGTTTAAAATRTACAAAAATGGCTAAAGTTGAGTCAGTTTTACAGATGCTGAGCTAGACTTGGGTGGTGGTAGCTGAKAGTCATTAACATTGACTCAAACCAGCTCAAATTCTCTTATTTTCTTAATACAAGATGATTTTAGTCTAAAACTCGGTGCTCTTTTCTAAAGGCCTTTAATTCCAAAAAACAACATTATTCAGAGGAAATMGGAACAACCTGCTCAGAAAAACTGGAAAATTAAATGTGTGTCAAACTTTGATTTAATTCCAAAAGAGTTTTTACAACAAAACAAACTTAATTTTCTCTTAAACCTTTAGTTTTTACTGGAGCGTTGAGCTGCGCTTTGATGCCAAAAACCTCAATTGAACAGTTTTCACAGGAGCTTCAACTGAGTTCAGTCTGAACACACGAGGATTTATTTTCACGTTTAGCCTCATGTCCAATAATTTGCTTAAAGTCATGACTGAAGCTGCAGATCGAGTAAAACATTTTTTTAATTCATTATGTAAAATAAAACCTCACTATCAGTAATTGTAATTAAMTGAGAGCTTTTATTCTGAAAGTCTTTGGGCTTTTGAAGTTTAATAATAGCTCAGGAGATGTCTTTATTTTATTTATTAAAGAGAAACTTTCCATATATTGGGTACGCTTGTTAAATTTAATTGTCTCTTTTTTTGGGAAATAAAACCTTTCAAAGTAAAACATCTGCATGCCACATTCATTGTAATAAAACAAACAAAAATAAATTTAAAAAGTTGATTTATTTGTAAAAGTAAGCTGGAAAAAAACAAAGTTTTTTAAATATGCAAAAATACAATGACAAAAATATTAATTATAATATTTGTAATATTACATGAAGTTTAAATTAATTAAAAGATTAATTGAAATTATTTACAAATGCTTAAAAATCGCTGTAATTAGCAGCTTCTTTTTACTGATTAACAACGTTTGTAATTTAATAATTAGTAAAATAGTCTTGACAAGTAATTTTACTGACTGAAATTAAATTTTGCGTTTTTAATTTGTTCGTTCGATAAGTAAAAAAAAGCTAATAAAAGCTGACAAACCTGTTTAAACTCGTCCAAATATACTTTTGCYGACACGTTTCAGGTCGTCTAAGCGCTTCTGTGCCAAATGTCTGCGGGGAAAGACGAGAAAACCGCAATTTAATTAACAAATAAAGTTTTCCAAACTTTCAGCGGAGTGCCGACACTCACTCAGCAGCACATTTCCATACCGAAGATCTCACGCTCGGTTCCGCCCACTCCTGCCTCTGATTGGCTCGCTTCTGTCAACAAACAAACGTCCTGCGCTGCTATTGACTGCCGCCTCTGTTATCGCCCCGCCCTGTCTGTATAAGGSCAGCGGCTCGCGCTGCTTGGTGTCAGATCTGAGGTGAGTCTGTGGGATTAWGTTGGCAGATAATCAGAGGTAATTTCGTTTTAGCCCAAATTATGACTGAAAACATCACCTCATTCCTGGATATTTTAATGTGTTCGACTTCGTTCAGATTAGTTTGTTATTTTCTCTTCACGAGCATCATTTAAGTTCAGTTTTCCTCGAACATGCGTTTAAATTTGCGAGGATTGTTGTGAGTTTTTCCTTCTTTTTGGCAAACATGCGCCGCTGGGATTCGACGGTTTTCACCCGGAAGGCTTATGGAATATAGCCCGGTTCGCCCCAGCCCGCATGCCTTCTGGTCCAGCCCCGGGAAGAAGAAGCTCGTCCTGCTCAGCGTCATGTTCTTAGTCTGGGTCTACATGCTGTACTCCTGCGTGGGCTACTGCTCCACGGTGCCGGGGCTGCCGCTGCTGGAGAGCAGCCGGGCCAGGGAGCAGGAGGCCGGCGGCGGGGCGGACCTGGTGTCCAGACTCATGTCCAAGCCGCCGCAGCCGTCGTGGGAGGACGTGGAGGGGGACTACGAGGAGCCCCCGTCGCCCCTGGTCAGCAGGACCAGAGACCTGCTCACTAACGAGCCGGAGCCGGACTGGGACCAGCAGCGCAGAGCCCCGGAGCCCGGCACCATGTCCAGCTTCTCCAACGGCTCCGGGAGCAAGAAGCTGCCGCAGGCGATCATCATCGGGGTGAAGAAGGGAGGAACCCGGGCTCTGCTGGAGTTCCTGCGGGTCCACCCGGACATCCGAGCCGTGGGAGCAGAACCGCACTTCTTCGACCGCAACTATGAAAACGGACTGGACTGGTACAGGTAATAAGAATAATAAAAATAAATATTTACACACAACACAAACTGAACAACTTTTACATTAAACAAGCGAAATCCATCACTTTAAAACAAAAAATACATTTATTTTTATTATTAAATTTCACTGTATATTAAATTCATTTATTGCACAATAAATTGCAAATTTATTACTCTAAATGGGTTTTTCCAGCTGGAAAAACTCAGTTTTATTAATTATCCTGCAGCTTTGACCTCTGCTGCTCCCATTATTTGCTCACACAGATTAGTCCACTTTAATTAACTCCTAATTTTGAGACTTTTGTTTGCAGACTGGTTTGGTTGTGCATGTGATTAATGTGTGGGTTTGGAGCTTCTGCGATGTGCAGTGATCTCTGTTGGACGCAGAGCAACACTGCACCTTCAGCCTGATGATGGGGCTTCCTGTGGGGATGGGGAGATGGGGGGTGGATTAAAAAAAACTCAGAATTTGAAATAGTCTCAGTTATTTACACACATAAAGAGCAACACTGCACCATCAGCCTGATGATGGGGCTTCCTGTGGGGATGGGGGGATGGGGGGTGGATTAAAAAAAACTCAGAATTTGAAATAGTCTCAGTTATTTACACACATAAAGAGCAGGGCTTCAAATGATAGTTAATAATGTGCAGGGTGACTAAATCTCGTCACTCAAATGTGTCACAAACRCATTTTCTGCAGCAGATTTTAATCCCATTTTCTTCCAAATGTACACTTTATGCAGATTTCAGGGCTAAATTTCACAAAAACAGGATTCTCTTCAGAACAAAACAATTTAACATCTTCAGAAGTGGATAAACTCACTTTATCACATCATTAGGTACTCTTCAACATAATTTTTTTTTAAATCTAAGTAGCTTTATTGCATAACTTGGCTTTAAAGCACAATCAAGGTGAAATTATAGCTTTTAAGAATTATTAATGGCTCAAAATGTGGATTACAGAATTTTAGAGGTCGCTCTTTAAAGTATCTTTTAGTCTACACAAAATAATGATATATTTTTATTTCACAAACCTTAAAGCAATATTAGTAATAGTTTGTTTTCTTTAATAATTTCACAGCACAATTAAATATAAAAACATATTTTAGATGTTAAAAACAAGGTGGGCGACTTTAAACGTGAGTGTGTTTTTTTTAAAAATTTCGACACCTTTCCTTTTGATTTGTGCCACGTTTCGTGCCCCTGCTGCGATACGAACTTTGATTTACTGACTTTGTGTTTGACGGCAAAGTTTTCCAGCAGTTTTACTTTTTTCTCTTCTTCTTCTTTTGACGGGCAAGCGTGGAAAAACGTCTGCAAGTTTTTAGGCCGTGAAGTGGAATACTTTCTAAATCATGTGAAGACTCTCAAAAAATAAAGTTTTCACGAGGAGCCGGTGCACACGCGTTTATGATTTATTTGCACTTTTGCGTTTCGAAAAACAAAATATTTTTGAGAAGGCATGCTGGTTCTGTTGAATGCAGTGGTCACCCCCACTTCAAAAAAACAGTTCCTTTATTAGAAAACTGGTGGAAGTTCAGTAAGAACTTGATGTATTTAGTGTTTTTTAGCGAAGCGGCTCAGTTAAGAGTCCCTGTAGGGTTTTCTGTTGATCCGAATCATTCCTTATTGATTACTGAGCTTCCTGACGTCTCATTAGAACCAGAGAACTTGAGCAGAACTTTCCAGACTAAATTAAAATCAAATCTGCTCACCGTTTTTACAGAAACGGTTTGTGTGTTTTGGATCTCAGTTGTGCAACTCATCTCTTCTTGTTTGTTCATTTGCACAATCGCCCAGCCACACACACACACACACACACACACACACACACACACACATTCAAGGCTGAAATTCCATGAAGTATGAAAAGGAGTTGAAGAAAGTTTGGAGTGAAAAGAGGTGGAGAAAACACGTCTCATTGTGGATTTCTGATGTTCTCTGACAGTTTTTATTTGTGCCGCACACAAACACACGATTCATGCATTTGACCGAGGGGTCTTTATACCAGGAGGTGCACATTTTCACCGTGAGGTCATGCATGAACTGGCCTGAAAGAACACACACACACACACACACACACACTCTTATAGGGAGTGTCAGAGCTCCACTGTCACTGAATGTGAACGGGAACCTTGGTTCATTATTTGTTTTATGTTTTGCACCTGTTACTCAGTGGTAAAATTAGGCAAAAATAATAATAATTATTATTATTCCTTAAAGGAAAAACAAAAACTCTTTTCACAATAAAAGCTCAGGAGTAATAGTGCGTTTTGACAAAAAAAAAAAAGCCTGAAAAAATCAAGCTTGGAGGTGAAGCTCAGCTACCACCGTACCAAATTCAGTGTCTGGGCTTTTAGCTACATTCTAACAATTTTTGTGTTTTCTAAGCTCAGTTGGCTGTGGTGGCCACGTTTGGCTCGTAATGGTCATCAATGGTAAAGATTCAGTGTTTACTTCACAATAGGGTTGGGCATAATCGTATCGTCTGCAATTAATCGTCAGAAAAACATTAATCGATTTTATTTTTTTGGCACTTGACCATTAATACGWTTAATGCCACCAGGTGGACTGACTGGAGGTTTCCCCGGTCAGTCCGCTCGGTGCTCCTCTCCGCTTCAAATATGACGAACATTTAAACTAAAGTTCTGTAATTTATCAACACAATTTAAAATTTGAAGTATAGCCTGAAATCTGTGATTTTGACAGTTTGAAAAAGATTTTTACGAAGAGCAAATCTTTCCCACTAAATTGGTCATGTGACTGGGACATAAGGGTATCCAGGGACGCCAGAGGATTAATCGTCAAATTAATCGTTATCGGCTAAACACCACAATTAATTGTGATTGATTTTTTTTTTGCCAATATCGCCCAACCCTACTTCACAAGAGTTTWATTCAAATCCATTCATAGTTTCGTGGATTTTTCTAACAGACTCATAGTTAATATCTATTTGAAGTTTCAGCTTCTACCATTCCAAATTTAGCTCAGTATTTGTAAAACTGATTTCTTCATAAAGTTGCTCAGCTTTGGCGGCCATTTTGAACAGGATTAGTCGAAGTTGTACRGGGGATCGATGACTTTCTGCCAAGTTGAGTCCGGCAGCAGCTTTTTGTAACTGTGAGGTGATTTGTGACTTTAACTTATGTCTGATTAAGGAAAAAAGGAGAAATTATTTCCCGGAACATGAGGCCATTTTTATTTCCTAACTCTTGTTGACTGCAGCCCTCGCCCGTCACTCTGTGGTGCTCTCTTCATATTCTGTGGATCTGTATCAACTCTGAAGGGGCTTTGATATATAATTGCTGTGTTGTGGTTTTGCTGTCGTGTTGCAGGCTCTGGTCTTTGCTCGCTGTCGGGTGTTTGCGGGGGGGGGGGGGGGTCGCCTACACCGTCGCTCCACCCTTCAAGTGGTTGTTAATCAAGAAGTAGTGCACATGTTGGGGAGGGGATTCAAGGAGCCTATAAGGAGGAGTGGGGTTTGTTTTATGCTGAGGTGGTCTTGTGTTTGTGGCTGTCAATGTATTACCTTCCCACCCAACTGACCACTAAAACCCCCCCAATAAAAGTAGCTTTAGTTTGATCAGTTTTACAGATATTGGCTTATAATTTGGTATGGAAACAGATGAATGTGATCCCTACCAGTTGTGCAAGATCTTTAAAATATTACTGTAAACTATTTGGAGTTAACTCAGTCTTTCTCTTGGTAAAATATTTCCTAAACAGCTAAATGAAGTAATGAACTCCCAGGATAGAAACAATGATCGGATCTTTAAATGAAGGTGGCCCCCACAGTCGACTGACCTCCGACAAAGCAGAAATGAGTGTAATTTAGTTTAACAGATGAGCTAAAATTTGGTGTTGTAGCTGACCCATACTCTGAACATCGCATTTTAAAATAATTCAAGGTTTGGCTGCAACACCAACATTTCTCAATGTAAGATGGTATAAAGCTGAAAGGAGAAGGGGCAGTAGGTCTTTTATTTTTTAACAGTTATGACTTTTTTAAGGGTTTGATTGGATTTAAAATCGAGGCTCAGGCTTCAGTTATTGTCAGGAGACTGGTGGGTTGAATCGGTCCATCCCAGAGCAGGATGTCTCTCCGGTTCCCCTTTTGTATCCAAGCTGTGATAAAACTCTGTGGAGGTTAACAGACTCACAAAGCAGCATCAGACRCTACCTAAAGTGCTACAAAAGGACAATTGGAGCGTTCTTCTTCGTCCTAAAAGCGAAAAACAAACCTGTTGTTCCTCTATCAGACGTGGTCTTACTCTCGGAAGTGTTATCTATCTCCACCCCCTCTGGTCATCGTTGCGCTGCAGCTCCCGGGCCGTGTCGGGGGGGGGGGGGGGGCAGTTCTGGATGGGTGCTCGTCCCTTTATCTGCTCGCCGCAGGAGTGTTCCTGTTTCCATGTAGGTGACCCCCGTCCTGCTCTGCGTCACCACTGACCTCCTTCCTTCCTCTGAATGGTCCAAAAAAAAAAAAAAGGCCACCTGGTTCTTTCAGAGTGGCAGACCAAAAAACAACTCTCGCTGCTGTGTTCATACGCGGTGGAAAGCCCGTGAGTACACACACAGCATGGTTTGGACAGGCTCAGCTGTGAAACCACAAATAATCTTCGTGCTCAATCACGGCCACCTCGACGCTCAGACAGCGGACACAAACGGCGCTGGGGTGAGGCTCCTCTGGGATGGCCTGTATTGATCGGTCAGGCCTGATTGGAGGTGAACGTATAGAGATGGGTTAAGGGTCTTTGACTGGGGGGGTCAGACACATGTCCGCTCCCTGACAGAGTTTGAGTGCTGACCATCTGCAGAAAGCTGCAGGAAGCTACACGCCCCAACGGGGATTTTTTTTAATAGTTTTGGCGCCACTGTTTTTCAGCCTCTGTGAAGCGATGCAAACGAGGACGTCTTCGGAGCGACCTCGGAGGAAACGAGCAGCGTACGTTTACAGTTGTGGTCAGACGTCTACGTCCGCTCATCACGGGGATTTTGTGGCTTTT